AACAGACTTGTGAACTCTGGGAGAAGGCGAGGGTGGGATGTTTCAAGAGAACAGCATTGAAACACGTATATTATCTAGGGTGAAACAGTTCACCAGCCCAGGTTGGGTGCATGAGACAAGTGCTCGGGCCTGGTGCACTGGGAAGACCCAGAGGGATTGGGTGGAGAGGGAGGTGGGAGGGGGGACCGGGATGGGGAATACATGTAAAAAAAAAAAAAAAAGATACACTATGGTTGTGAAAAAAAATAAATAAATTAATTAATAAAAAAAAAAAAGCTCAACATTCAGAAAACTAAAAAAAAAAAAATAAATAAAATACTTTCTCTTTTAAAAAACATTTCTTTTACATTCAAGTTTATAACTGTGTTTTCAACAATTTAGACTTATTTTTCTTAGGTGGAACTGTTTGGGTATAGTGCAGAGTTCAGAACACACGCTCTGGAGTCGGTCTGTCTGGGTTCAAATCTAGACTCTCCCACTTGTGACTTGGTAAACTTAGGCAGGTGTCTTAACAGCTGTGCCTTAGTTTCTCCATCTGTTCAGTAGGCGTAATTTTAGTCCCTATTTCATAGAATTGTTGGGCAGATTAAATGTTTAGTACATGTAAAGTGTAGCTTAGTGCATTGCATGGAGTAAGTTCTCACTTAGCAAGTTAGCTCTCAAGGATTTTAGTGTTAACTGCCAGGCCTCTTTGGCTCTACTGTTCCCCCGTTTGACTCAGTGTTTTGGTTCACTGTTAGGTATCCTGGGACATGATTTCAAGCAGGGTTCTGTTTTTTGAGTTCTTAACTATCTGAGGTTGTAAAGAACAGTATTTTATTAGAAATTTTCAGATAGGACCTTTCAACTAGGGAGCAGGGAGACTTGGGAATACTGATAGTTGGAAGACATAGTTTTGAGCCTGCCTGTTGCTGCCTAAGAATGAGGGCTTTCCAAGAGTACTTCCCAGAATGAAAACAGCAGGAGCAAGTGGGGCCCTTCGGATGACAGTTGTTCTGGCCTGCCGCCCTTCACCCTCCATCAGGCCTTGCAGGCAGCACTGGCAGTTCGGAGCAGCTGCTGCAGTGCTTCCTAACCCCTCTGTGAGGACAGCTGGTTGTCTGCACAGGGAAGACAAGCCCAGAATGGCTTAGTGGTGTCACTAGGTCATATCCAGCAGGTTCTTCTCTGGACTTTGCTTCCCTTGTTGGATCAGCTGTCATAGCCTGTTAAATACTTGCAGTAGGAGTCCCTCTGGATTCCCCACAGCACCTGTGCCTTCCTGGTCTGTGTATGTGAAAATAAGATGGCCCAGCTGGTGACCAAGTAACAGATGAGGCGAGATGCCTGGATTATGTTGTTGTTGGTGCTGCTTCCTCTTGTCACAGTGCAGGAAGAGAGATAACGTTGTTAGTGTTCATTGATTCACTCACTCGAGGTTACCCAGCAACAGGCGTGACTAGAAGCCTTTTGATATTGATGTGCTTTGGTGTCAAGTTCATGCACTTTTCTCTGTTGCCCACATTCAAGGTCCTGTATATAAAATGGCCAAGGGAGGAAGCACTGGTTGGTAGACAAGGAGTGAATGTTTTCATTTGGAATCATACAAAATAAAAGGAAAGGAAGGTAAATGCAGGTTGTCTTGTGCAGATATTTCAGTTAGGCCACATGCACGTTAGTAACATGTATTTGTAGATTTAGGCAAACTAACGTTTGCCTAAACCCAGTGTATTTTTAAAGTTGGTGCCTTTAACATTCTTTAAGATTCTAACCAATTAGTGCTTCAGTTTTAGTTGGAAGAGGCTTGCATTGAAAATGGGGGTAGTATGGTAATAATTATTTAATTTAAAAATTGCAATCCTGATGACCCTCCCAAGCTTAAAAGGCACATCAGACACCACCTCTGTTGGGAGCCGCTTTTATTGGTTCTCTGGTGATATGACAGTAACCATAAACTTAATAATTTGGAATAACTGGACCATTTATAGATATGCATTAATTTACAGAAATACAATGTGGGGAAACGTAGAGCTACAGCTGACTCGAGCTTGGAGAGAGTCACTTGCTTTGCAAAAGGAGGCTTATCCACATTTTTCACAGGTTTTCAAGGTTGTCTAAAAAGAACAAGGTAATCTCCCTTCCCCTTTCACCCCAATTTTGAGAAAAAACGTTTCTAGATTCTTTTTGTGAAGGTAATCTTCCTCATTCTTAGTTGATGCAGTCCTCTCTGGGAGAAATTTACCCTGTTTATACAACTTCTTAGTGAAGCGGATCTCTGTAGTTGAATATTAGATTTAAGCATTTTCAGATTGCCATGAAAATATAGTTCATAAACCAACAACTGGAGGCTTCAGGGTTTCCTGTGAATCTTAAGTCCTCAAACCACATTTGCAGGTACAGGTGGAATAGTTGAGGGTATTGAGGTAAATTGAAATACGGTCAGTTTACACTGATTTCTGCTGACTTTCAACGCTCTCCTTTGTATCATTTAGTGTTTGGGACAGTCTGCACTGTGGATTGACATGAAGAATCATCTGGTCCATTCTCTTTTGCTTTAAAAGTCTTTAGAAGAGATTGTGCAATGTATTTGGGGAGGGGGTAGTGTGTACTTTCAAATCACTGTTTTATAACCATTGTGTTGCTTTTAACTCAGGCCGTCCAATCAGATCACTTCCAGCTGAGATTTATATCCGTTTTATTTTGCCTCTGGCAAAAATTCAAAAATGGTTCTTCTTCTAGTGGTTCCCGCCACCCCCAGCTTAATTTGTCAATTTCACTTTTTAAATATTCTGCATAGAGCCTGGTTTTCCGGAACCAACTCTTGTCTTCCTGAATGGGTGATGTTACTGTCTAGTCAACACAAGCTTTGTAGAAGCAGCTCTGTCTGACCCACATTGGGAGGTGTGTTTGGTCTTCAGGGACAAATATTTTTAAAAAGACCTCAGAGTGAGATCCTTCTGCCTTTTCATGGGGTAAACATCTGCCTGACCACGAACCACTTCCCAGGAGGTGTGCACGAGCTTGGTGAATCCAAGGGCATGGTGCTTCCCTCCAGTTTTTACTTCTTTCCTTGGAGACTTCAGATTTTCTACAGGGTTGTTTGGAAAGTGAGACTCAAGGAAACTCCTTGTTATCAGGGTTTTCTTGGTGACGGAGTAAGGTTTGCTTGTTGTTGCTTGAAAATGCACCCCTAGCTGTTCTTGTACGGTGGAGGCTGACTGCTTTCAAGCCACAGGCTTCCTTGTCGCAGTTGGGATTGCCAGTGCTCACCGAAAGCTGTCAGCCCTGTGCTTTTCCTTCTCTGTAAAGTTATTGCCTGGTGGGTCCAGAGTGGCAGGCCCTGGTTTGAAAGATTATTTACTGCTGCTGTATCTGTCTCTCTCCATGTCCTCGGGACCAAGTGAGAAGGGAGCTCTGGCTTTCAATCCCTACAGAGTCTTGGCTTTCCTTCCCCCTTTTACCTAAGAAGACCGAAATGACAGCATGTGTGACTGTGCTCACACCCCCTCCTCGCAGGCAGTCTTTGAAACTCAGAGGCAGTTGAGACTCCTCAGTTCCCCATAACCGGATTGAAGGCCGCTTTCTCTCTTCATAGTCAAACTCACGCTTAATAAAGTGCTTCATTTTGCCAACAGTTAGACGCTTTGCTTATTTCCCCCCTTGTGGATCTCTGTTTGGTTTATGGTGTCAAGGGTTAGTCTTAAGGCAGAATATGAATGTTTAAGAGCTCCAAGCATCTAGGTACTTTGCGAACGTGCTGGAGTTACGAACTCGCTTTGCGTTAAGGAGTTGGTGTTGGGTCCAGGTTGTCTGTGCTTATGTGTATGTTTGTGCACGTATCTTTAGTAGCTGCAGCATCAGCATAATAAGTATATGTTCTTGTTCATGGATCTGAAAAATCTCCAAGTCATTTGTTTGACTTTCAGATGCATTATCTGTCTTTTGTTTTAACTATCAGTATATTTATTTTGTCTTCCACTCAGACACATTTGTTCTTTTGTAATCCAGCAACCAATAGTGTATGGTGGGACCAGAAAAGTATGTGGGACCAGAGGGGCAGCAGGGATTGACATGATACCCACCACTACTGGAAGCGATTTACTGGATTTGAGTAGACTGTTAGATTTTACTGCAACTCTTGATCAGCTTATGATTGTTTCACTAGTGGGCAGTTAAGGAACAGACATGAGATAGAATGTAGATTGTTCTTTTTTTTAAAGAGCCTGGTAGCTGTAGCCCAAGTCAACAGTGCCTAGTTAGGTTTCCTTGAGTCCTGGCTCCCCATGTGAACACAGATAATGGTACTAGAATGGTTGAGTCTTTAAAACCTCAAATCCTGGTCTTTGAAGGTGTGGTAGACATTAATTTCTAATCCTGAGGCTCCAGCACAGTAGCTGATAAATAGCCTTAGTTCTCTCCTTTCATAGAAATGTGTGCATTGCCTTTTGTCTCTGACCCTTACTTTCTGTCAGGTGACCCCACCCCCAGTCCTGCTCTTACAACAGTGCCCTGTTCTGTTTTCTTCTGAGCACTTAGCCCTGTCTGGTTACCTTGTTGATGTTTTTGTTTATTGTCTGTCTCCCTGCCCCTTTCAGTGCTGTATCTTTGGCTTAGTGTAGTGAATGTCTGGCACATGGTAGGCATTCAGTAAGTATGGGAAGGAATAGGTGTTTGCCAGGAATAGCAGTAACTGTTTAGGTGTATTATGTGTGTTTTTGTTTGTTACACTTTTTAAAATTTAAAAAAGAAAAAAATTCTTTTGGCCATGCTGTGAGGCATGTGGGATCTTAGTTCCCTGACCAAACTAAGGAATCGAACGTGTGCCCCTTGCAGTGGAAGTGTGAAGTCTTAATGACTGGACTGTCAGGGAAAAATCCCTTGTTTGTTTCACTTTTGATCTTTGAGAAAACTGACTTTATCCAAACCAGTTTTTCCAGCACCTTTTCTTCAGTTTATGTCCTGATGTTGGGAAGGATGAAGGTGAATGTTTTTCTGAGTCTCTTTCCTCTCGCCCACCCTAGCTTGCCAGCAAAGCACGGACAGAGAAGGAGGAGAAGCTGAGCCAGGCCTATGCAATCAGCGCTGGTGTCTCCCTAGAGGGCCAGCAGCTCTTCCAGACCATACACAAGACGTGAGTTGGGGGGAGCATAGGGGTCCCTTGCCCTGGGGATGCTGCCTGGCTGAGCTGTCTGGTGGCTGATTTGTGGGTAGTTGTGTTTCTGAATGTCACCAGGGAAGCTGGGTAGTGTGTTGGCAGTATCTTGCATCCAGAGATGAGGTGCTTGTTGCTTTTCCATTTGGAAGATCACTAACAGGTTATCTGTTCTGGGCTTTTGTGTCTTCATCTGTAGAGCTTAGTTTTGGATTAGATTATCCCTGAGGGTCCCCTCCACACCTTGTATGCCATAATTTAGAACTAGTGATTTCTTTCTCTTTTACTGTTTTGATCTTGTACCTTTCTTTAAAAGCTGATGCAGTTTTAGTAAGGGAAAGTTATATCTATTTCACTTTTCCCAATTATACATTGGGGTGAACATAGGGAATTAGGGAGAGCAGAAGGCCACCTTATTACCACCTCATAAAAGACATTTTGTCACAGCAGAAGTCATTTGATTCTCCACTAGCTTCCCTAGCTGCTGAAAAACTGAAACATTTGACACTCCCCCTCCCCCCTGCTGCCTTCTGTTACCCTATTTAACCACCTGGGTCTGGTGCACAGATGGCAGCTGGCATCAGAGCCATTTGAGGCCACGGTGTGAGTATCTGAACATTTACAGGTATGTGAAGGAACTCTTAGTAATATTAGCTGCCCTGGGTTCCCCCAAGTGTGAAATGGGATGGGTTTTCCCAGTCTGGCAAGTACCCAGCTGTCTGATAATTGAGAGGGGCCTCTTTGAGGAGCGGCATTATGGAGTAGGGAGCAGAGTAAAGATTGCAGTAAGATGCGGGAGTTTGTTCACCTGTCTTTTTAAAGGTGCCATTTCACCCTGGGCCAAAGGTTGGCAAACTGCAGCCAGCGGGCCAGAACTCCTGATACGTTTATGTATCACCTGTGGCTGCTTTTAAGGTGCAGCATGCAGAAGAATGGTTGTGACAGAGAGTGTGTGGCCTGCACAGCATGTAGTACTTGCTGCCTGACACTTCATAGAAAGAACTTGCCAGCTCCTGTCCTAGGCTGCTATTTAAACTATATCTAGTGACCTGAGCCTAGCTGTTTATTTGTAGCTCAAATTAGTTTGGACTTCTGAGTCCGCCACCAAGTTTTCTGTGTGTTTTCAGGCCCCTAAAACTTCAGAGTAACACTCTGGACCATCCTTGGAATAAGTGTGCATCAGTTCCATTGCTTTTCCTAGCCAGTGGTACCCAGGAAGTGTTTCTTGGCTGCTCCTCCCTGTGGGCTGCTGGCATCTAGTTATTGACTGAATAGTAAGCTAGGAACTTGGGGTTAGCTTTCTGGAGTTAGTTATTCATCAGGCAGGAAGTGTGGAATGCCTCGCAAGAGGTAACTTTCACCTGCTCTCTTTTCCTTCCAGCATTAAAGACTGTAAATGGCAAGAAAAAAACATCGTAGTCATGGAAGAAGTTGTTATTACACCCCCATATCAAGTGGAAAACTGTAAAGGCAAAGAGGGGAGTGCACTGAGCCATGTACGCAAAATAGTAAGTAAAGGAGCCGAGAAACCGTAGGGAGAGAGGGGCTGCTCGGCCTTCTCCCCTCCAGCATCAGGGCAGGACGTTGGCCACAGCCGCTGCCTCCTGACGGCCAGCCTGTGAGCAGCCTTGGCCACCTTGCCTCCCTGCGCGCCGGTGCTCTGCAGCCGTGCTGTGGGTGCTCTTGTGGGGATGGAGCCACCAGGCAATGCAGGATGAAGCGAGTGGTCAGCCCTCTGTCCTCTGCGCTGTGCCTTTTTGGAATTATTCAGAGCATTCCATGGTTTGGGGCCTGAGCAGTTTCTCTCCTCCCAGGCTGGATTCTTCTCAGGAAGGGCTGGTTGGTATACATCAGTGTCTGTTGGAATCCATGACCCTGCATATGTCACCTGACTTTTCTAGATTGAGTTGAAGCATTTGTAAAAACAAATTGAGTATTGGGAGAACAACATGGTGGATATAAAAAGTTTTAAGACTTAATTCCCTACCTGCTTTTTATTTTGCAGTTGTGTAAGGAGGGGTGAGGGAGTTTGGCTTATAATAGTCTCCCTTCGTGTTCTACTTTATAGATTTAACTTCTTTTAGACAGTCTTATCTGAAGCTGCAAAAAATGTGGCTGATAGAAGAGGACCCCCACCTCCCTTGTTGGGAAGGCCAACAGACAGGGAGCAAGGGGAACGGTGCTGAATGATCCATGAGCTGGACAGCCAGCTCATGGCTGGTGAAGTCTAGAGTGAACTCTGTGGGAGGCCTTGTGTGCCCATCTGTTTTTCTGATCTAGGCTGACTGATGTCTTTCAGGTTGAAAAACATTTTAGAGACGTGGAAAGCCAAAAGATACTGCAGCGTTCACAAGCCCAGCAACCACAGAAGGAGGCTGCCCTGTCATCCTGAGTCCACACATACGGAGGACTCTTCCAGCATCCAGCCAAGGAGGCGATGGTGGTGGCTTCAGCGGAGGCAGGCCGGGGGAGGGAAGGGATCCTATATTTCCCGTTGGCTCTTGTTAACAGAGGGTCAGCATTTCCAAATCTTAGACTTGAACAAACAAAACACCCAACAAAAAAGAACAAGAGAATAATTTAAAAGTTGAATCATTACTTGACTAACAGACTTCGGTCCACCATGTCCTTTTCACAGCCCCCTTCTGGAACAGTCACCTTGTTAATTTTATTTTTGAAAATTCCTTTCCTGCTCTGCCCTTTCACCTCTGACTTTCCTTTCCCAGTCTGTCTCTGCCATTCTGTTTTTATAAGTGGCTACACTTGCCTTCCGAGTGATTGAAAGAAACTTTTACATCTTCTCTTCCAAAATAAAAGTAACAAGCTGACTGTGATACTTAAGTTGAGACTAGAGCAGCAGACAAAGGTCTCACTTTAAATTTTTCTTTTTTTTTTTTCTTTTTTTCTTTTTTTGCACAGGGCATGGCTTGAATTAGTTTTATTTTTCTTAACTTTAAATATATATATGAAAATATATATTAAAATGTTCTCTAAATATTTTCTGCTTCTTGCAGGTCTCTTTTTACTAGATCATGGCCCCTCTTCCCACCTCATCCCTCTTGAGAATAAAAGTGTGTTGTCCTCCCCACCACCCATAGCCAGGCACCTGACTTAGTGTGCGGCGAGGACCTCCCGCAGCACTCTGTAGAGCCAGTGTTTGCAGACGGGCGCTGGTGGCTTTTCAGTCTTCTGACTGTGCGTGTACCAGTCTCACATTTGGCAAAAACCTCAGGATTCTCCTTCTGCCTTTTTCTTACTTCATGGTACTAGAAGAACTTTCTCACCACTCTCCTGTCTCCTCGATGGGAACGACAGCTGCCCCATCTCTTGTGCCCTCTGTAGGAAGAACTGTTTTGCATGGCACATCTCAGCTCCTCCTTGAAGGAAGGTTTTCTTTCATAAGAAACCCAGAGTCTGCCTATCCTGACCTCTTTAAGTCTGTATCCAGAGCCACTAGCCCAGGAAAAAGTTTGGGTGACCTGCCGTTTCTCTTCTGCCAACCTACTGCTCTTATGACCTTCCCCACCACCCCTTCAATTTTACAAGCTTATGACAGTTTGTATGTGCTCAGCCAATGGGCAGAAAACCTGGGAAGAATTTCTGGACTTTAGCCCACCAGTTTGTCTGGTTTGACTAACCTGCTGAGAGCTACCTGGCACCCTTGCCCCTGTACCTAGGCAGTCCAGAGGGGCAGAGTGTGTATCAGGCACTGTGGCATGGGACATGGGTGATGCTCATGTGACTGGCTAGAGCTTTGGGGGTGGGGTGGGGGTTAATGAATATTTTTTTGGCCATGATCTCTTTCCCCTTCCTTTTTTTTTTTAATTAAATAAATGGATCAAAATTAAATAATTCAAGCCCTGCCTTCAAAATGAAATTTTTTTTTTTTAGTATTGTTTAGCAAAAACAATAAAACCCAAATTTTTTTAACCATCACTCATGTCTCGGGTTTGTGCGTGCTTTAGAGGCCCCGGAGGGAGGGGTCTGAGGATGTGTGTGTTTGGTTAAACTTTCCCTTTAAACTCTCTGCTTCCTACTCTTACTTTCTCTTCTTCTACTCCTGAGAGCTCATCCAGAAATACAGTGCCAAGTGTATAAGAAGGGGATACAGGGTTGGGAGTTGTGTGTAAGCGGAGTAGAGGAATGAATTGGGTGGGTACGTATGTAAGACCTTTGTTCCAGGACTGGAGGAGAGGTGGGAGAAGACTGAGAAGTATGCTTTCGTATCGCCTGCCATTGGCCAGAGTGTGATGTAAAGTGCCAAGCCTCTGGTTTAGTCTGCATCGGAGAAGGTAAAAGAGGGAGTGCAGAGGAGACCTACCGTGCAAGGTCTAGAAAACCTGAGAGATGCACTTAGAGAAGTGAATGTGATAACGGGAAATGGCAGTCCTGGAAAGAAGCTCTGTGTCACGTGTCCCATGTCATTACTTCCTCCCCATTAATCTCTAGGTCTGTGACTGGGAGGGAGCAGGTACCAACTGTTTCTGGTAGGAAGCACTTTGGACTGGTTTCAGTTTACGAAATGATGTCGGGGAATTCAAGAGGTGGAATCAGTATGGAGGGAAAGACAAGCAGTGTAGAAGGAAGAACAAGGGCTTTGGAGACAAAAACAGTTGGCTTCAAATTGTCGCCTTTACATCTCACTTCCTGACTCTGGATAAGTCATTTTCCCTGTCCAAGCTTTTGTTTCCCCAGTTGTGAGCATGAAACTAAGACTCATCTTCTGGAGTTGCTTGTAAAGGTTCAAATAGGATGGTTTAAAATGGTTAATACTTAGAAGGTCCTCTATAAATGTTAGTATGCATTTTAGCTTGTTCCTAGGATGGTTAAATCTGGAGATGAGACTGGATTAACTGGTTTTCAGAAGCTCCAACTTTGTTTTAGAAGTCTTTGTCTAGATGTCATTTTCAGTGGGACTAATAGGTAAAACATTTGAGGTCCTAAGAGCTGTGCCCTCTTAGTCTCTCAGATCTCATCTCTACCTCTTCACTGAAGCTTCTGAGGAATTTGATTATATGAAAACCACTCATTTTACAGAAAGTGAGTGGGTTCCACCAGGGCTAAGTGACTTGCTGAGAGTACCACCGCTGCGCACAGTGGCAGAGCTGGAATGAACCCCAGGCTTTATGCACTCATGGGCTCTTTAATGCTGCCCTGGGACTTGGCGAACCAACGGCATTTCGTATCGCTCCCTTGTTAGCCAGGTTTGGGGTGGAGTACAGAGAACACTGGTGAGTGGTAAGAATTGCCACCTAGATTTGAAGAAGTGACGCAGTGTTGAGGGCTTGCATCTCTGATAGAACACGAACTGGTGGCTTTGCTGTGTCTTCTTGGTTTTGAGGCATTCTCCTTTCTCCTCAAACACACACACAAACCCTTATATCCCAGTGCCTGGTCACCACCCCACAGCCACATCTGTGCCTTTGGGTTTTCTTCTATTTAGAACATCTGGTCAGTACGGTGTAAACAGCTTTCCCACAATGAGTTGATACTGAATCTGTACTGTGTAAGTCTGAACAGCTCATTGCTGATTTTTGTTTGGTGTTTTGAAAGTTGCTCAAGCACTTCAATATCAGTTAAAGGGCCGCAGCTTGGGAACCACTGATTCAAGGGAAAGGCTCCTTGATGTTTTTGAAGCTACAAATTTTGTCAAAATCTGTTTTCTGTAAGACATAAAGGAAGATCAAGGACGCTTTCAGTCATACATAGAGACTCCTGTCCTGCCAGTATGGCAGATGCTGAGAATGTATAATGAGAATGTTGGCTACTAGAAGCTGCACTGTACGGGTTGAGTGGTGGGGACCAGAGTTAGGGAACTGGGATTGGTCATTTGGGTTGGAGGATGGTCATTGTTTACATAGCAGATTTGCTTTTGCATCAGTGCTGGAAGCCGCTGGTTGCCAGAGCATTCCCCTTCAAGAAACTTGAATTCGGCATGTACTGCCTCAACTTCAGGGGTTTAACGTAACAGCATGATGTACCTTACAGGTGAGAAAGGGGTGCTGTGGGGCTGCCATCCACTGGTGATAGACTGCTGCTGGGTAATAAAGTTTCAAAATGAGTTTATTTTTCTAATATTATAAAAGCCTTACATGGCTCATTACAGGAACACAAGAAAGCAAGGCAAACATGTCCTATCCAGGATCACCCAGAACATTATTGACATCTTTCATGTCCTTTTGATGTTAACACCCTTCTCCTTGCCCCTTACATTTCTGAAAACACAGCACACTTCACTGAGTCAAGAGAAACCTGGCAACCAATTCCCTCATCCCCAGTGCACAGGTGCACTCTGTAATCTGTGGGTATCTTAAGAGTTAACATATATGAAAGGCATGGAGGCTGGGTGACCTCTGAGATTACTTACAGCCTCGATAGTCTTCAGTTTTATCTTCTCTATCTTTTCCTACAATGCCTTGCTTCAATGCCACCTGTGAAGCCACCCTTGACAGTGAAAATGGAAAATGATTCCTAAAATTTGTATCACTCATATGTGGCATTTATGACTTGCATTGTAATTATTGTGGTTTATCATTAATGGTCTGATGGGGAATTTTGAGGCCCTAAGATGAGGATAATGTAGTATTCCCTAGCATTCAGCCATTGACATAACTGAAGTCATTTTGAGTGTCGTCATTTTAAGAACTGGATGAGTTGCCTGAGCCAGGATGAAAAGTGGTCCAGGCTGACTGAGTTTTGAGGAAAGCTTGGAGTCAAGTGAGAAAAATTATGAGGGACCAGTAGAGAACATCGGAGGAACTGGGAAGGTGAGTATAGCTGGTTTCAGCTTGAAAAGCAGCAGGTTTCTCAAGAGACTGGCAGCTAGGACCAAGGCAGGTTGGACTGTGGCCTCCCATAGTTCTAGTTTTGTTGAAAAGATGATAGAGTAAGGTGTGGGTAAGGCAATTCTCTAGTGACTTTTCAGCCAGCCTCTCTTTCCCTAAATAAATCCTCATGCTGACTCCAGCCATTAGTCTTTATAGTCTTTAGCATAGGGACTAAGGTGGTGGCTGCTTTTTCTGATCTGGCCTCCTTTCTGGTCTGTCTCCTAGATTAAAGTAGTTGCTTATGCTTGCTGTAGGGAGGTCTGTGTACTACTCTAAAGAAAATATTCTAGAATGGCCTCTGAAGTGTGATTTAAGCTGAAATCTGAAGAACAAGGAGCCAGCCAAGGGTGCTTGGATAGAGGGACCAGCAGGAACTCAAGTTGAGGTTGACAGGAACTTGGGGTGTTTCAGTGTGTGTGCTCAGTCGAATCCTATTATTTGCGATCCTATGGACTGTGGGCCTCCAGGCTCCTTTGTCTTTGGAATTTTCCAGACAAGAATACTGGAGAAGCTTGCCATTTCGTTCACCAGGGAATCTTTCTGATCCAGGGATGGAAACTGTCTCTTGCATTGGCAGGTGGAGTCTTAACCATTATGCCACCTGGGAAGCCCTTGGAATGTTTAGGAACTGCTAGACTATAGGCAGCTGAAGCCTAGTGAGTAAGACAGAGAAATTGGCAGGAGCCAGATTATGCAGGGCCTTGAAGCCGTTGTTTTAGGGAGCGGAATTTGTTCTTGACACAGTGGGAGCTGTTAAAGGGTTTCAGGCTGTCAAGGGGTTTAGGCTAATGTTAAGTGGCAACAGTGGAAGTAGAAAGACTTCGTTCAACTGTATTCCAAGGTAAAAATTAAATTTAAGGGAAAAAAAGACTCTTGGCACTACGAGGCTATTGCAGTGGTTCAGGCGAGAGTGGTGACAAACGTGAGTGCAGGACTGGACTGGCTGACGGACTGGATGTGAGGACAAGGTGGTCAGGGAAAGAGGAGCTAAGGGTGACTTCTCGGTGAATGGTGAACAGCGGAGAGGAAGAGGTTTGTGGGAAAATAGGGTTCTGTTTTGTTATTTTGTCTCACCCATGAAACACTGAAGAACAGATGGTGAATGGGTCTCGAGCTTTGAGTTCAGAGGATAGGACCAGATGAGCTAGACATTTAGGAGTTGTGCCCTTGTCCTGAACGCTGAGAAATGGGTGAGATCCATGGCCACAGTAGGGGTTTTGGCCTCTGATTGAATGGGGCCCTTCCTCCATAATAAACAGGAAGGAGAAGATAGTACCATTGCAGGTGTGTTTGTGGATATGGCAGGGAGATGAGGGTGAAAGAGTATGTGGCTGGTGGCTCAGTAAACACAGAAGGGAACTCCCATAAGTTGCTGAGTGCCCTTTAGGGGTGCATGCTCATGCGTCATGCTGTAACCACTTGGCCACTGGGTGAGTTGTACTGAGTGACTTGGTGTAGACAAGTGGATTCTTTGGTATGAGCAGAATAGGAGGTTTATCAGGGAGTTCAGCTGAGGATGTTTGCAAGAGAAGGTGATTACAGCAGTGGCCCCTTGGCCCCTCCACGTGCATAAGTAAAAGTGAAGTCGCTTAGTCATGTCCGACTCTTTGAGACCGCATGGACTGTAGCCCACCAGGCTCCTCCGTCCATGGGATTTTTCCAGTCAGTACTGGAGTGGGTTGCCATTCCCTTCTCCAGGGGATCTTCCCTACCCAGGGATGGAACCCAGTCTCCCGCATTGCAGGCAGACTCTTTACCGTCTGAGTCACAAGAGAAGTCAGGTGCATGGCTGATGTCAAATACAGTTCCTTTCTAGTTCAGATTAGCCTTTATGAAAGTGTTTGCTGTCCGTCGCATGCGCTGGCTATGGGAAGGGTATGTAGCCATGTAACTCCAGAAGGCAGTATGTGAACAGTGCAGATAGTATGCTTCTAGTTCTAGGGGTGGCCCATGTGTGATCTCTGAAGCTCAGCACAGGTATCCTAGCACTTAGATCTTGGAGCTTCTGTGGATATTTAAACTGCCTCCCAGTTTAAACATGCTCGCTTACAGCATCCTTGCCTGGCTGCCCCTACTTGAACACCTTCATTGGTGGGGAGCTCTTTACTTTGAGAAGCACCATGTACCCGCTGTGCCACACCCTTTTGTCCTCCCTGCAGCGGCTCTAGAACTGAGGCAAGAGCGCCCATCTCCTGCGCTCTGGTCCTTGCTCTTCATTCCCGTGAGTGAGGGGCGCTGAAGCAGACAAGCAGGCAGATAACGACTGGGAGCTGGCTTGTTTTCTCCAGTGCAGTAGTCTTTTTAAGCCAACTATTTCAGCCTCTTCTAAGAACTTTTAAAAAATCTTGGTGCTACAATCCGGTGTACAGCTTATCTATCCCAGTGTTGTGTTCCAGGTTTTTATAAACTGTGTTTTCATATTATCTAAAGGGATAGCATAAGAGACTTTAATAGGATCCAGATGTTTGTGATAGCCATCTAACAATATCAAAAAGGGAAATAAAGTTGTTTGGGTATAACTTGTTTTTAGTGGACTCATGTGGGCACCTAGTGGCTATCATGTTTTGGGTAACTGGTGAGACTTTCATGAGCCCTCTGAATTTTGTTAACAGTTATTCTACTCAACTGACTTTTAAAAATTGATACTTGTGTTCTGTTCCAGTCTCTGGCAACCTTCTGTTTGTAATGTTTTCTCAAAGATTATTGACAATGATTCCTCAAGTTTTTCTGGTATAATTTGCTCGAATCAGATCACTTGAATTAAAGGGGCTCAAGTCTGATCAACCACAAGCTGAGAGTAATATCCTAGGTTGATGGTGGCTCAGCTGCCCTTACCATTCTGGGCATCATATGTACTATTCACCTGTGACCTTGACATCCTAGGGGGGTGTTTGGACGGCACAAGGGATGATGGCCCACTCTTTGGGTCACTATAGCCTAGTGGTTAGATGCATGCCTGGATTCAGATAGGCCTGAGTCATGTCAGATTTCACCTCTGCCACTAATTAGCAGTATGACTTGGCAACTTACCTAACCTTGCCAAGCATCAGTTCCCTCATCTGTGAAATGAGTGTCTCAGTTGAGGATTAAATGAAGCCTCTAATGAGCTGCTTGGCCCTTGGTAACCATTTCTTCCATATGGCCGTTATTCTCTTAAAGAGCTTGCTGGGTGGAGCTCCTGAGCACACTCAGGAACCTAGAGAGAAAGTAAATGTTTGGCCTCCCAGGGCAAGGCAGAAGCACTGGGTACCCTGAACCCAGCCCCCTGTTTCAGAAGGAAAGGCTGGGCACTCCTTGAGTGCCAGAGAGGAGTACTTTGACCTTTGGCCTAGTGAGAACAAGAGAGAACATTCCCCTCCTTTGTGTCCAGTTGTCTTAGGCAGGAAGTAGCAATGAAAAAAAGAGACACCTGTCTGCTTTATGACTTGAGGGAGGGCTCCAAGGCTTCTCCCAATTGCCATGGTTGACAAGAAATAGAGGAGGGCCTGGGGCTCCAGAAGAGAGAAGGAGGTGGAAGGGGGAACCCCTGCTCTTAGAAAAGCAGGGCAGGGTCCCGCTCCCCTTGATAGAAGGCCAGAAGGGCTTGGAGACTTCCTCAACCTGTCCCCTCTCCCCACCCTCACGATGATGGCTTCCTGAGAGCTGATTGCTCCTGCTTCGGGTGGTGGGGCTTGGCCGGAGGCCAGGCAGGCAGGTAAGTAGAGCTGAGATTCCTCTTCCATTCCTGAGCTGCTGCTGCTGCACTCAGCAAGTGTAGTGCCAGGGATAGAGGTTGAGTACACAGGGGCTCTGCGGGAGGTCCTGACCTCGGTGGTCAGATTAGGCCAACATCTAGTTGAAGTTCTTTGCAGGAGGAGGAGGAGTTTCTGTGATCATGTGGGAAATAAGTGAGGTGGAGTGTGGAGTGGGGGTAAAAAAGGTCTAGAGAATTAAAAAGGTGATCTTCCCTGATTGCCTTTCATCCTAGTAGGAATAATAGGATGAGGGGTGGCTGGGGATGGGAGGGTCAGGAGGCTGGGATCTCAGGCTGAAGTAGCTTTTGCTATTTACCTAGCTGTTAGCTGCTAGGTAAGCAGGTAAGATCTTGAGAGATGGAGAGAAGGTATCCTTGAGACCACATTGGGAACCTGACATATGGTGAGGTCCTGAGTCGTGTTTGCATTTATTTTTCTCTCCTAGCATCACCACGCTTCCCAATATCTTGGATGGAGGAGAGTAACACAGGCTCTCAGCATCCATGACTGCCTGGTGCCATCCTCACTCCATCTCGTCATGGGGCGAGGGTGGAGCAGGTGTGGCCACGGCCACAATGGGGCATCAGTTTTGCTTGGGGTCTGGTGGCAGGTGGCCAAAACCATGAAACTGCCCAGCCTTGGGCATTGTGTGGGCTGTGGAGGCCTCCACCTGCTTAGACCCTTCCCAGGTTCCCTGATAGTTTGGCTGTCAGAGCTGAGCCACAGTGGTCTCAGCCACTCGGCAGGTGGCTCCTTCCAGGGCCTGTGTGGACTGCGGGTGCAGCTGCTGTCTCCCAGTGTCCTGTGGGACTTGGCTGGTGGAGCCCTGGGGGGCCTGGGTGTCCTGGAGCAGCTGTATCTCAGCCCCACCAGCTGGCCCCCCTGTGCCCAGACTTTTCCATCACTCTGTGCTGTCTACTCTGTTTAGACCTCTCACAACCTGCTTGCCAGCCTGGACCCCTGCAGCCTGTGGAGCCTGGGAACCTGGGGCAGCCGAACCTGAGCCACAACCCGGCTGAGCTGGGCACCGCTGGGGTTGGTGCCTCTTCTTCCTGTGCTGGCAGAGCTGGCTAGGAACCAGGATAGCAAGTCAGGGGTGCAGCCCTGGCCCCCACGCCAGCCTGGAAGTGCTCCCTGGCTGGGACTGACATCAGTCAGCTGGAGGCCGAGGCCTTTGTAGCCCTGTGAGCACTGGGCCTCTCTATTGTAGGCAACCGACTGCAGCATCTCAAGTTCAAGATATGGTGGGCATCTGGACAGCAGGTATGATGCTGCTGCTGCCTCAAACCCCTGGGTATGTGACTGTGACCTGCAACAGGCCGTTGGGAACCTGGATGACCTGTGGCACTTACGTGTAGCCAGCCTGGGTTACTTGACTTGTGGCCCTGGGCAGCTGGTGGGGTGGTGCTGAGCAGTGTGGATTCCCAGCTGGGCTGATCACTGGCTGTGACCATGGTTATGGTTGAGTGCAAGTGCCTGCGAGGCCTAGGAAGAACCAGAGAGCAGGGGAGCCCTTGAGAGGCAGCTGGGGGAGGGAGAGAAGATGGAGCTGTGAGAAAGGAAAAGGGATGGTCCTTAGAGGTCTTTGGGGCTCAGTTGTCTGCCCAGGCAGGGTGGGAGGAGTGGTGGGAAGGGAGAGAGAAATGGCTGTGTTCAACTCTCAGGGCCTAGGGCTGACCACCCCTCCCTTACCTGCTTCCTCCTGATCTAGCACAATGCTCTCATCTTTCTCAGCCCTGGGAAGAGTAGTCTAGCCTCTAGTCCTCATCACCTCTTTGGGGAAGAGGGAACTAAAAGAAAGACCAGAGGGAACTGGGGTGGGTTGGGTACAGTCAAAGTCGCTCAGTCGTGTCTGACTCTTTTTGAACCCATGGACTGTAGCCCACCAGGCTCCTCTATCCATGGAATGCTTCCAGTCAAGAATACTGGAGTGGATTGCCATTCCCTTCTCGAGTGGATTGCCATTCCCTTCTCTAGGGGATCTTCCTGACTCAGGGATTGAACCCGGACCTCCTGCATTGCAGGCAGATTCTTAACTATCTGAGCCACCAGGGAAGCCCTATAAGGAAAGCATTAGTTTTAATCTTTCTCTTACTCACACATGTTCCTGGCCTCTGCTGCTGGGGACTTGGTCAGAAACTGGTTGCTAAAGTTTATGATGGAGGTAGGGTGGGTAAGGGTATTCCCATGGGCAAAAGCCAGGCAGGCTTCTAGAACTATTTTGTGGACATACACTGATCCCAGTTCTCAGCACTTCTGCTTCTTCCTGATGGCTGTGCATTTTGTCTCATTTGAATCGGGGATAGGTGAAGAGATTGGAAAAAGAAAAACAGTTGGAAAGTTGATACTGTAGTATGTGCCTGTATTTTGGTAAAAACTTGCCTCATGGTGGTAGGGGGTAGGAAGGGTAGGCAAAATAACCTTTAACCCATTCTTTTTCTCATTCCCTTTGAGTTTTTCCCACCCTCACCCTCAACTCCCCACCCCAGCAATCACACAGTCTCATTTCCCTAGTTTTTTGCCTGATATATCCCTTTCTCACATTCTTTCTGATACACTCAGACTTTAATCAGTGACTTTGTAAAAAAAAATTAGATGTGAGAAGTGTTTCGTTGTCCAGCTTTCACTGGCTGATTGGGAATTTTAAACTCATATCTTCAGAAATGCTACTTGAACATAAGCTCCCTCTCCCTTCCCCAGGGAAATGGAAATACACCTCCTGAATTAAAGGACCTTACTAAAGTGCTTATAGAGTCTTCAATATTAGAAGATGAATTTGTATGTTGCAGGGTGGTAGAGGGGGTGCAGGAAGATAGGTGGGGGTGGCTGTGTGGTGGCAATCCCAGAGTGCCCCGAACTTTCGCTCATTTGTTCAACAAATAGTTACTGAAACATGACATAGTGGTAACACGTTTTGTTCATTTACTTATCTATTTGGCATACATTTCCTGAAGGCATCCCATCTACCTGGCCCTAACGATATAATAGTAGGCAGAAACCAGACATTGTCCTTGCCCTCATGGAGTTCACAATCTAGTGTTAATCCAATCATCAATAGACAAATCACAAATATACAATCGCTAATGTACTAAGCGAGTCAAGAGAGAGGTGCCTGGTTGATGGTTAAGAGAACAAAACAGAGGATCTGAGAACAAAGGAGGCAAAAGAAACAGTCGGGGAGACCAGTCGGAAGCTTGATGCAGCTAAACTGACAAAAAGTGGTAGCTTGGGCTAGAGTCGGAGCACTTGAGCTGGAGAAATAGACTGCTTGAGATGACCCATATGTCCTCGTCAGGTCTCTCTTCTCTCAGGGGACAAGAAAGGCAAACCAAGACCAAATTTCTCTACAAGTGGCTCTGAGGATAACTTCTTACTCTAAACTCAGAAGCAGAGGGATTTCGTGTGCGTGCTGTGTACACCATTCACCGAAGCCCTACTATGTGCTAGGACCAACACTGTCAACATTTAAACTTCACAACCCTGTGTCGTCGATGTCATTCCAGTTTCCCAGATGAATCTTGGGAAATATAGGAGATATGTTGAAAGTCACAGAGTTGCGTTAGAGTTGGAGCCCAGGTTTAGCTGTATTCAAAGACTAGTTCGCTTACTATTCCTTCCTCTAGTTTTCAATTTTGCAGCTATAAGAAAGGACTCTTGAGCCTCCTTGGGCAGAAAGAATAACGGAACCCTGCAGCTACAATACTTTCTTCAGCCCAGAACTAGAAAGTGAGAGCTTTGTTTCCCGACGGAAGTGGAGGGAACCCCCCCCCCCCCCCGCGCGCGAGACCCGGAAGTTGCGCGTCGCATCCTCGCGCCGGCCTCCCTGGCCGCCGGGTGAGGCTGCGGCGGACTGCCCTTTCTCAAGATGGCGTCGAAGATGGGTTCGCGACGGTGGATGTTGCAGCTGATCATGCAGTTGGGTTCTGTGTTGCTCACACGCTGCCCCTTCTGGGGCTGCTTCAGCCAGCTCATGCTGTATGCTGAGAGGGCCGAGGCACGCCGGTGAGCGGGTCCGTGCGGTCGCCGAACGCGGTGGGGGCGGTCCGGCCCGTCCCAGGAACGGGGGTGCGGTGAGGTGGGGAAGAAGTTGCGGCCTAGAAGTTGGGACCTTTGGACTGGGAGGAACTGGGACCTCGGACTTGTTAGGGACTCTGGTCCGGAGCATGGTGGGCATCGAGCGTAGTGCGGGGATCCTAGCCATGAGAGGGGGCTCAGGTTTGGAGAAGCAGTGGAGCTTGCGGAAACCCGAGGGGTCTCAAGGCTCTTCTTCCCGCCTTATCCTGTGCTTCACTCTGTCCTCGTTCCTCCCCCCTTCCCTACTCGCAGGAAGCCCGACATCCCAGTACCCTACCTGTACTTCGACATGGGGGCGGCCGTGCTGTGCGCTAGCTTCATGTCCTTTGGAGTGAAGCGGCGCTGGTTCGCGCTGGGGGCCGCACTCCAGCTTGCCATTAGCACCTATGCCGCCTACGTCGGGGGCTACGTCCACTACGGGGACTGGCTGAAGGTGAGCACCTCGCCCCTAGGCGGGACTTGGCTGTAGTGCCGGGGGAGCCGGTGCCTGGGTCAGCTGGACATTGCCTGGTACTAGCTAGGAGCACAGTGCGAAGCCTGGGAAGCTTGAACCCCTTGGTTTGTAGCGGTTATTACAGACCACAGGAATGGAAGGACCTTAGAGACCAGCAAACCTCCCCCTCAGAGTGCAGAAATTGAGGTCCAGAGATGGGAAACAGACTTCCCCAAAATTACACCACAGTTAGCATTACAGGTGGGACCAGCACCCAGGTCACGTGGTTCCCAGAACTCTACACCGTTAGTTTAGTTAACAGAACCAGGGCGAAAGGAACTTTAAGAGAGTACCTAGTCCACCCATCAGATTTTATGAAATTTATCTAATCAGAGGGCAGCCTTTAACCCTGTAGATTCCAGGACCTGTGCCAGGCACTACAGGCTTGGAGATGAGCCTGGACCAAGGCATTACCCGCAGGGAATGGACTGGGAGTCAATTAAGGGAGGCGGGTGTGAGAATAGCTACTGGACAGTGAGATCATTGGTTAGTTTGGGGAACAGAATATACCCTATGGAAGAAAGAATATTGAATTTTGAATATGCAGACCTGAGGATGGGGAGAGGGGCAATGCTTGGTATCTGGGTTCTGCCACTTTGTATAGGACCTTGGACAAGTTTATTACTCCTCTGGGCCTCAATTTCCACTTATGATAAAAAGAATTACCTTTTTCTGCTCTACCTGCCCATGGTAATGGTAAGAGGATTCATCAGATGAACCGGGATGTGTAGAGATGGGCAATTATGTACTTGGGGCAGCCAGGAGAAGTGCAATGGTTTCAGTTTCTGATCAGGGTCCCCTCGCCTTGGCCTAGGTCCGTATGTACTCACGCACAGTTGCCATCATCGGTGGCTTTCTTGTGCTGGCCAGCGGTGCTGGGGAGCTGTACCGTCGGAAACCCCGCAGCCGTTCCCTCCAGTCCACCGGCCAGGTCTTCCTGGGCATCTACCTCGTCTGTGTGGTAGGTTGGGGGATTGTCGACTGGAGGTGCTTTACTGAGAGTGAGCTGTGAACCGATGCCTGGTGCCTGGCAGAACCCAGGGAGGTGGGCAGAATGAGGCTTGCATGTAGTTTCTGAGGGCTTAACTCCCAGCAGTTGCCCCCTCCAGCTTCTGGGCCTTGGGGGACTTTCAAGTGCCTGAGACCTGGCTGACAGTCCCTTCTTCCAACATTATTGCCACCAGGGGAGAGAAGAGGGTGGATTAACCATTCAATCCCAAGCCTGAGAGCCAGGAGGACAAGAGGGCCTCTTGGCTTCACCCCCCAGAGGACAGAGAGGGGACAAAGAAGAGGTTTGGTAGAGTTAGGTCCCACCTGGGGTTCTGCCACTTAGAGCTGATGGGGCTGCCTGGCAGAGCCAGTTACATCCTCCCTGGTACTGGGAGTGGGGCCAATGTGGAAGGGAATGTCAACGGGCCCCAAGTCACTTAGCTTCATCTTAGATACAGAACACCATCTCCCATGTGCAGAGCTCTGTATTCAGAGGTGACACCCCCAGTCTGATTGTGGACCCTCTTTCCTTCTGAGCCCCCAGGGTCAGGAGAGACAGAGACCCTGACCTCATGGAGCTCCCTCGTCCGAGGGGAGACACAGGCCTTACTTTCAGAAAGCCCCAGGTCTGAGAGGGGAGTCCACAGCCCACCTGGTAGGGGCTGTCTTGCATCTCAGGGGTGGCCTTTCCAGAATAGGCTTCTCAGCCTATTCAGAGCCTCAGAGGACGTTGTGTCTCTAGGCCTACTCGCTGCAGCACAGCAAGGAGGACCGGCTGGCGTATCTGAACCATCTCCCTGGCGGGGAGCTGATGGTCCAGCTCTTCTTCGTGCTCTATGGCGTCCTGGCCCTGGCCTTCCTGTCGGGCTACTACGTGACTCTGGCTGCCCAGATCTTGGCTGTCCTGCTGCCCCCGGTCATGCTGCTCATTGACGGCAATGTGGCCTACTGGCACAACACACGACGCGTTGAGTTCTGGAACCAGATGAAGCTCCTTGGAGAGAGTGTGGGCATCTTCGGGGCTGCTATCATCTTGGCCACTGACGGCTGAGTTGCGCAGCGGGAGTCTGAGAATGGGTGCAGGGAGCCACTGAAGGCCACCCTCCATTCCTCCTTGCTGGCCCAGTTATGTTTATTTATGCTTTTTGGTCTGTTTGTTTGATCCTTTGTGTTATGTGCATGTGTGTGTATGTTGGCAAGAGGCAGGTCTCTTCTCCAGTTCCTGGGCTCAGGCCTTGGTGGGGTGGGAGCCCTGATGACTCTGCCCTATGGGTTTCTTTTTCCTGTTTGTTCTGAGGAGAGCTGAGGCCAGCTGTTCTCCTGGGTCTCCTGTCCCAGGAAACGGAGTAAGGCAGGGCTATGGGGGTGGGGGGTGAGGGTGGGGGACACTGAGAGTGGGAGACAGAGGGAGGAAGACCAAGAATCAGAAGTGAGCCAGTGTGAAAGATCCCGCTTTGAGCCTGGCAGATGCAGCTAGGCTCTGCAGTGCTTTTCTGAGACTGAGACTGAGTGTGTGTATTGACACATGGATCAGGCCCAGGTGGAATAGAGGGGCTCGGCACTGCAGAAGTCGTGGGCTCTCAGGGTGTGCCAGGAGCAGACACGGCACTAGCTGTCACCCACCTCGAGGGCAGAACAGGCCCCAGTCTACTCTGGAGTGTGCAGGGGTGGGGCAGGCAGTGGCCAGCTTCCTACCTCTGGCCTTCTGTTGCCAGCTCCGTGGTTGGCCTGCTGTGGGTGAGTGCCCTCCCAAACACCAGACCACACAGTCCTCCAGAATTAAACATTTTATATAGACGTTTGGCTTTGCTTCTCTGTTCTCCCCACGGGGCACTTTGCCACTGGCTGGGATTGATCTTGGGTTTCTTGAAAGCCCATACCCGGGTAAGCCCCACCTTGACTCGCCCGTGACCTTTCCCCTGTCCTGGGGCTCTCTTTCCAAGTCTGCAAAGGCTCCTGCAGTACATGCTTTGATCTTTCACTCAGTCCCCCTTGTGGCTTGTCTTTCCTCCCCATTTGGTGCCAGCTCTTTTCAGAGAAATCTTTGGCGAGGGCAGCTAGAGGGAGAGGACTGATTAAGGGTCCACTCTGAGGCCGAGGAACTTTCATTTCACAGGTGAGGAAATGGAGGCTCAGAGAAGGTTGAGCCGCTAGCCTGAAGCCACAGAAAACTGGATTCCAGGCCAGGTCTGCCTAAAGCGCACACCCAGTTGTGTACTCGACGCCACCCCTCTCCTCAGGGAAGACAGGCTGCTCTGGGGGAGTTGGTCTCTCAACAGCCCCTGGTGCCTCCCTACACATCCACACACCTCCTGACAGAAGGTAGCCTCAGCAGCCAGTGTGGAGCCTGGCACATCGTAGGGGTCAGAAATGTCAAATGCAGCCACAGGCTTTGGACTCTCGCCTGTCTGAGATGTCCTGCTCCTGCAAAGATGGAGACACAACCTCCAGGGGGACCAAGGGGAAGACCTCCGAGTCTGGGCTTGGCTCTGAGCCCTGCCTGGCAAGGGAGATGGGGCTGCTGTCAGTCCGGTTTGTGGAATGGAAGATGTTTCCTAACTAAGGGGTAGGGAAGCCCCTCTGGGGGCTGCTGACAGTTGGCTGAGGGAGGTAGTGGCAGCATTCGTCTCTGGGCCTCGGCCTCATTTAGCTCCCCTCTTCCCTCTAGGAGTCCCCTGGTTCCCCAGCCCTCAAGATGGTGCTCCCAGAGGGTCAGTGCTAATTTCCTTTCAAGTGTGTGCTGACTTTCAGACAAGTACTTGCATTTTAATCAAGGCCTCCTGAGAAGTTGCAAGACCCGAAGGAATTAAAATGAATGGTGGAATATAAGGCAGATGTGGGTGATATTTTGAGCAAGGAAGCCTCAAAACAGCACAGTGGTCAAAGACACTGGTCCACCCTCAGCCTTGAGTAGAGCCCTTAAAGGCAAGGGCACCCTCCTCCCTCCAGATTTCCTAGACTGAAAATTCCGGGCCATCTGGTTGTGGCTTTGGAGCAAGTAGGGGTCTTGGGCAGGCCCTTTTCCTTCCTGTCCTCCCTTGGGTGCCCTTCTCTGGGCAGGTGGAGTAACAGCCGCTGCTGCTTCTGCAGTTCACTCAGCCAGCATGTCTGGTCTGGCCTGTGGCTGCCTTGGGTCTCCTCCAGCAGGCTTGGCCTTTAGTCCACACTGGCTGTCCCAGGGCCTGAAGGGCTGGTAGAGAGGGTCAGCTGCCTGGGTCAGAAGCTGGCTTGCAGAAGGAGTCTGGTAGCCCCTTGGCATGGTTGACCAGCTCATAAGAGTCCCGAATATCGGCCAGGCCAAACCAGAAGAAGATCCACTGCTTGTTGGAGAAGCTGCCGTCGCTGTGTTTGAAGTACCTGGTGGGGTTGGGAGATAGGTTTTAGGCAAGGCCAGGGCTCACTACTCACTGGTTCATTTATTGAGAACCTACTATCGGCATACCACCTTTTGTGTTTCACTAAGGTGGCGCTAGTGGTAAAGAACCCGCCTGCGAGTGCTGGAGACATAAGAGACCTGGGTTCAATCCCTGGGTCTGGAGGATGCCCTGGAGGAGGGTATGGCAACCCACTCCAGTATTCCTGCCTGGAGAATCCTAAGGACAGATCCTGGCTACCATCCGTAGGGTTGCAAAGAGACATGACTGAAGTGACTTGGCACGTTGTGCCTTGCAGATAACTATGTTTTTTGCAAATTGAATGTTTGCAGAAACCCTGTGTGGAGCAAGTCTGTCGGTGTCATTTTTCCAACAGACGTTTGCTCACTCACTCCATGTCTCTCTGTTGCATTTTGGTAATTCTTGAAATATTTCAAACCCTCCACCAGCAAAAAGATGACTGCTTACTCAAGGCTCAAGTGATGGTTAGCAGTTTTTAGCAATAAAACTATTTTAAATTTGAGTATGTACATTTTTTTTTAGACATAATGCTATTTCACACTCAACAGGCTACAAAATAGTGTAAACATTCATACATACCAGGGAACCAAAAAATCTATGTGATTTGCTTCATTGCAATATTCACTTTATAGTGGCGGTCTGGAACCAAACTGGTAATATCTCTGGGGTATGCGTATATATGCTGAACACACTGCTAGGACCTGAGGTTTGTAATCTGATTTTATTCTCATAGCACCAGTCAATAGCCTGGTGTTAACGCTCTTTTCACAGAGGAGCAGCCAAGGCTCAGAGAAGTTAGATAACTAGCCAGAGTCACACAACTAGGAGGGTTAGCGTGAGGCCGCCTTTTCCTCTCTCCACACTGCCTTGGCTGTGCAGCCCGGGGAGGGGTCCTTGTTCTGTCCTTGGTGCCCACAGAGCAGAGTAGTAAGGGAATGAGGGGATAACTGCAGAAGGAAAGACAGGAGGGGGTGTCCCACTGGAGATGCAATGGGGTCAGAGCTCTGGGGTCAGAGCTTGGCAGCTGGGCCTGGACTAAAATGGTAAGGGGCTGAATTTATCCAGACCCCGGGAGAGGCAGGCTGTGTGCCCAGTGCAGACTGTCTTCAAGGCATCTACCTTAAGAGGACAAAGCAGAGTTAAGTGTGCTCTGCCTCTAGGGAAGTCTCAGGCTCCATGTGTGGTCTGCTCCCTGGGGAATGTGGGGCCCGCACTGAGCGGGCCATTTCTCATGGGGGAAGGGTGGCTAATGAAAGGGGAGGCCCAACCTTCCAGGCTAGTGGATCCCCGGCATGGCTGGTGAGAACTGGAGAGGGGCGCCAGAAAGGGCAGAACCTACCAGGGATTGATGGGGTTGGTGACCCGGGAGCGCCAGAAAAGCGTCTTCAGATCCCGCCGCAGGCACGCCCACAGCATCTGGCCGGAGCCTTGGCCCTGGCGGCTGGAGCTCACCACAAACTTGTCTAGATACGGGGTACCCCCCAGTACCGGCTCCGTGGTCAGAATGGCTGCCGCGTTGTACCTGGCGCAGCGGGGGAGAGGCAGGCTGGGACCTCTTCTTGACCCAAAGCTCTCCGGCGTGTCCCGTAGCCCCTGCCCTCTGGGGCCTCAGGCTCACCCCTCAGAGAAGTAGATAGAGTGCAGCCTTGGGCGCAAAGAGGCCAAATAGTCGTCCCGGAGCTTTTTGCCGAAGCTGGCGTTGACCAGGTTCACAAGGCGGCCCTGGTCCAGGCTGTCCAGGCAGCGCACTCGCAGCGTCCGCTCGCCGGTCTTGAACAGCGTCCCCGAACCTGGGGGTGGGACGAAGGAGGAGGGGTTCGTTCAGTCCGAGATCCAGGTCCCCTCCACTCCTACGTTTGCGCAGCCTGGTGGAGATTCCAGACAGGAAGGTTGCTGGTGGGACAATTACCTTCTTGGGAGCGCTCCACAATGAGATGCTTCCTATGGTCTGCATAGACTTGTCTGTGCTTTTCACTCAGGGAGATGATTTTCCTAGGCAGTTCGTCCCTCGAGTTCCCCCCCTCACCTGTGGTTCCACCTACTTCCCCTAGTCCCGACCATCCCAGCCCACCCGGCTCCTGGCCCCGCCCACCTCTCCTGTGCTGTGCTTGTCCGACACTTTGCGACCCCTTGGAGGTAGCCCGCCAGGCTCTTCTGTACATGGGGATTCTCCAGGCAAGAATACTGGAATAGGTTGCCATGCCCTCTCCAGGGGATCTTCCGAACCCAGGTCTCCCGCATTGCAGGCGGATTCTTTACCGTCTGAGCCACCAGGGAAGCCGAGAGTATCGGAGTGTGTAGCCTATCCGTTCTGCAGGGGATCTTCCCGACCGAGGAATCGAACCGGGGTCTCCTGCCTTGCAGGCAGATTCTTTACCAGCTGAGCTACCCATTCCACTGGGGTCCGCTGGGTCTGTGGTTCCTTCCACCCAGCCAAGTCCCACCCACTTCCCTAGTTCCACCCAAGTTGCAGCCCAGGCCGGTCCACCTCCTTGCAAACCTCCCCTAGGTTTGGCAAGGGCAGGAAGCCTTTACTGTGGCTTCTCCTGCCCCACCCCCACACCCCCGCCCCCCGCCCCAACGCCAAACACCGGCGCGCCCCTGCCCTCGCCCTCACCCCTGTTGCTGAAGAGCTCTGTGAGCAACATGCTGGCGGCGGTGATGACGGCGGAGGAGTGATGGGGCAGGCGACTGAGTATGTCCACGATGAGCCGAATCTGCTGGCGTTCTTTAGTGCTCACCCAGTCAGCGTTGGTCACCAGGTCCAGGTCGGCGGGCAGGTTCACGTTACTCAGGACCTGTGTCCCGGACTAGGGGGTGAGCCTCCGACCTGCAGCCGCACTAGGACTGCGTCCCCGCCCTACGGACCTCTCTCATTTAACCCCTTTCCCCTTACTTCCTCCCGGAGTCCTCCGCCAGGGAGGGCTCAGATCTGAACACCGTAGGCTGAATCCCTCCCTGACACTTGATTCCCGACCCATGCGGCTTCGGAGAGACTGACTCTGGGGCCCATAAGGGAGGCATGCAGGAGCCCCAAGAGAGATGCTCAGCGGAGGCGCGGAGGCGCAGGGACTGGAGCCCGAAAGGGAGACACACCTTGTGACTGCCGTCGTGCAGGCCGCCTGTGGTGTTGAGGAAGATGATTTTGGTGGGCCGCAGCGCCTTAGCCAGAGACGCGGTCACCTCCAGCGAGTCCAGGAGTACCGAGCGGCGCGCGGCGGTCTCCCCAATGGGACACAGGATGGGGATGCTTCCGGACTCCAGGCACCACTGGAGCAGATCGGTCTCCACGGAGACGATGCCGCCGTAGCTGTGGGCCAGACGCGGGGCTCAAGGAGATCGCCTCCAGGCCCCGCGGGACTGGGGCTGCGGGGCTGAGCGGCGTGATCCGAGGACGCTGGGACAGGCAAGGTCGGCACTCACCTGGCGTGAGGGGCTGGCTCAGCAGCGCTCAGCACAGACCCACCGCCAAAAAAAGGCACTGCGGCGGCCGCATTGTGCCGCAGGGCGTCCACCAACACCTTGCATCTCTGGGCGAGCTGTGACTTGGCCTCCCAGAAGGAAAGACAGCCCGAGGGCGCCGTGGGAGCAGGCAGCCCTAAGACCACCAACGGCTTCATGTCCATGCGCTGCAGGAAGGCCAGGGCGAAGGCCAGGCTGGATACGGCCTTCGGGCACTTGACCACCTCCTCCTCCACCTGCGGAGGCATGGGCGTTCAGGGGGCACGTCGCCCACCCTGACTCCTTCCTCACTCGCTTGTTCCTCCAGCCTGGCCCTCAGGGTCCCCTCTGGGGGGGGGGGGTCCCCATCCTGCCCAGGAGTTATCAGACCCCATTTCTGGTCACCTGCGCCCACCTGCTCTGCCCTTTGCCCCGTTGGGTCTTGCCATCATCCTCTTATCTCTCAGTAGCGTTCCTCTTTCGGCTCCTCCCTGCGACCTTGGACTCTAGGACACCTTAGGGGGAGGGGTGACGCAGGCGGCTTCTCTCCAGGTTCCCCAATGGCCAACTGATCCCCTAACTGTGCCTAGGGTGGGAGGACTACTCTGGCACATCATATTCCACGGGCTGGAGACCCCAGACTCCTCACCCGGGCTAGGAGCCAGGCTTTTCGAGGGCCTCGGCCTCTCCCAGTCCCGGGCGCTCGTTAGGGCTCCGTTGATCCCCCTCCTGGTTCCCCTCCCCAGTCGACAGCCCGTCCTGCCAGGCCCGGCGACACATCGGCACACGGCCCCCACCCCCGGTCTGTAACCCAGCCCGACGCCGGGCTCGGCTCACCTCGATGACGGCGAAGGGCCTGTCGGCGGAGTGATGGCAGGCCTGGAACTGTGTGAGCCAGTGGCGCGCCTCCCCGGGACTGGCCCCACACTGGTTCAGGAAGGTCTGGATGTCTCGCTGCAGCGGCGAGCGGCCGGCGGGGGGGCCCGGGGAATCGAGGGGCACCGGAGGCGCGGGGGGCGGCGTCCACAACGGCTCCTCCGGTGCAGACGGATGGACGTCGTCCTTGGCTCCCTCGGCCTCCTCTTGGGCTAGCTGGGCCGGCCCCCAAGCCGTACTGAGCCGGCGTCCCGGGCTGGTACCCCTGGTCGCCTGCCGCCGTGCGCCGCAGCTCAGCCTCCGGGCGCTCCCGGTGCCTCGGGGGCCCCGGAGCCTCCCGCCCGCAGGCGCGGCCCACAGGGCCAAGGCCAGCCGCACCGTAGCCATGACAACCAGACCGGATCGCCCCCCCACAAGTGACCGTCTGTCAGGAGCTCCGGCCTTCAGGAGCCTCTTAACCTGCAGCGGGGCGGGGCTGGGCCGTCCGGGGCGGTACGACGACGGGGTTGGGAGCGGCGGGGGGGGGGACGGGGGGGGCGGGGGCGGGTCTGGCCATGGGTCAGAGGGCGGCGCTGACAGTATTCCCCGCCCCTTCTGGGGGTGGTGTGACGGAACCCACTAGCGAGAGTCACGAGGCCGAGATAAAGGGTGGCTGCATGTCTAATCTACTGCCAAGGCCCGTTTCAGAAGGGCTCAGGGGCCCCAAAGGTGGCTCTGGCGCTCTGCGGGGTCTTGAACAATCAAGGAGGAGTCTGACTAGGGCAAAGAGGGCAGAGCAGCCGCCTGACCAAGGAAGGAGGCTTATGGAGGTTACCAGGGTTTGCCAAACCCCAGCCACTGGGTGCCACCTTGAAGAATTTTGTCTTTGGGGAAATTTAAAATTTATCTACATCAGGACTGTAACTAGAAGGCCGATGTCACTTGTAAGAAAGCCTTACAAATAGAGAGGTTTAAAAATCTTATATATTCCAGTTGGATAGTGTTGACTGCTTCTGTTGGAAACAAAGATGGCTAGGAAGTGCCAGGTGGTCGAGATCCCATAGCAAGCTTGAGACTTCTTCCTTGGTAGAACAGCTGCTGACACTAGCAGAACATCAGGCCCTTGCACATCACTTCACAAATAGTAACTCACTGAAGCCTTACAATGACTCCAGAATGGACACTCTTATTAGCCCCATTTTATAGATGAGGAGACTGAGGCACAGAAATATGTGAGGGCCAAGGTCACTCAGTTCATGAGCAGTGGAGCTGGTCTTTGAGGCAAAGCAGTTTTGTTCCTGATTCATGTTATTAAGCAAGATGTGCAAAGGACTTGAAAACTTTCATAGGATATGATTAATTATTGCTTAATACTGTATACGTGTGCTGCTTAAAAACACCCAGTGTGCAATCAGGGGTACACAACCTGCCCTTGGGTACACTATGCTCTGATGGGGTCCCACCCTCTGTCCTTATGGAGGGTGAAACCAACTGCAGAGGGGCGACGAAATGGCTGAGGTCACACAGCTTGTTAGTGTCACGGCCAGACCCTTGGCGTACGGAGGTCCCCCCACTCCACCCTCACATAGCTCTGTGTGGAAGTTAGGACTCCTGGGGCTCTGCCTGCGTGGGGAGCATAGTCTGGGTTCTTCTCTCCTGAGTACCACAGAGGATGCCGGGTGAGCGCACCGACCCTTCCTGGGCCTCCCCCATCAAAAGACACATTCCTATGAACAGGTGCAAGCTACACAAGCAGTCACACACGCACACAGCACAATACATGCACGTAGTGTCCTGGGCAGGAGACTCCTGGCAGCAGGAGACGGGAGCTGACCTCTGTGATCTCCGCTGAATTTTCCATTTTCCTGCTTTGAAATCCTGCATTCCAACAGAGAGTGAAGCAATGAGAGGGAGGGTTTGTACACCTTGCCCTGTGGGGTCACCTCCAGGGCGGCCTTTCTCTTCTCTCTTTATTGCTGCCCCCCTCCCAGAATCCACTGGGGCATCTTGATTTTTCTTTTTCTGCTCTCAGAGAGCCCCCCCCCCCCCAAATGTGCTTTCCCTTCCTGGTCTCTCCATCCAAGCCCCACCTCAGAGTGCCCACCCTCCGCAACCCCTCCCTACTCGGTTTCCCGCTTCTGGGTCTCTCCCGCCTTTGCTGCTCTGGATCCCTGCCTCTGTCCTGGCCCCTCGTCAATTCTTCCAGGTCCTTTCCCCACTGCTGCAGTTGAGTCCTGCCTCTTGCCAACTCGGGGCCCCTGTGAGGGCAAGGACGACCTCTCTTCTCAGACTGGGCTCCCTGAGGGCAGGGTTGATGTCTCCCTCCTCAGCTGGGGGGCTTCCCGAGGGCCTACCAGGCCCAGTAGCCAAGAGCATCCACCCCATTTCCCCTGGCCGGTGGGGCTGATGCTGGCTGAGGATCTCCTTCCCTCTCCTTGGGCTTCAGGCCAGAGGGCTGTGTCCGCAGACAGCCAATGGGACCCAGGGATACCCCAAGTAGATGATTAACTCCAGGCCAGATAACCCTGGGGCCACTATCCCTGGGGCAGGCCAGCCTATGGTTGGGAACTGACCCTGCCTTCTGGAGGAGACATCTGTGGGTGTGTGGGGTCAGCACCCTCTCCTAACCCACCCCTCTGACCTGAAGGCCTGCAGGAGCACTGTTGGTCTATGGTCCCAGCTTAAATTTTGTTTTTCCCTCTGGAGCTGGCTGAGGTTTCATTTTTCAGAGCAAGACCTGTTGTCAGTGGGCTCAGAATTGGGATCCTATCTTTTTTTTATTTTAAAAAGATTTATTTATTTGACTGCGTCAGGTCTTACTTGCAGCACATAGGGTCTCTGTTGTATCATGTGGGAGCCTTTGTTGTGGCATTGTGGCATAGGGACTCAGTAGTTGCAGCAAGCTACACTTAGTTGCTGCGAGACATGTGGGATCTTAGTTCCCTGCCCAGGGATCCAACCTGCATCCCCTGCAAGTCAAGGTGGATTCTTAACTACTAGACCATCAGGGAAGTCCCGGGGCACTTATCAGGTCTTGGGTCCTCAAGATGCTGGGAGCAGACACAACCTTCCAACGCCCCCAGACGCCTTCCCTCAGCAGGGGCCTCGGCCCTGGGCACAGGGGCCGGTTTGAAGGGTCAAGGTTTTCCCTCCCATTAGAAGCCTCCTTGGCTGCCCCTTAGTATTAGTGGACACTGAGGTAACAGGAATCTGGGCAGGTGAGGGGCCAGGGTTTATAGCTGACAGTCTCAATCATAGCACAGAAAGAGACACACACACAGATACACAGATCAGACAAAAGCAGAGACCCACACCATCCATTAAGATGCACACAGATGTGCAGAGACACAGCATACATAACCTGGAGACTCCCAGCATCTGTAGTCTCACAGACACACATGTGCACATGGAGAGATACACAAGTGTAGACACACAGATGTACAGAGAGAAACAGTTCTGCTCAGACACACATTTGCATATTTGCAGAGACTTTCTCAGCAACTGTCATACATAGAAACACATGCACATATATGTACTGAGGTACTGAGAGCATATAGGTATACACCCAATTGTAGTCATGGACAATTTCAGGGATATGTAGATCTGGAGATTCAAATGTACACAGACTTGTGCACACACACATGCACACACACACACATACAACATTCAGAGTTAGAAGCCCAACCCACTCCTCCATGAGACCACACCCATCTACCCATGTACGGAGGCAAACAGCCACACTCTTTCACATGCCATGATGGCACATGGCATGTGAGAAGTGTCCAGCAACTATTTATTGGATGAATTAATGGAGAGAGAACAGAGAGAAAGAAGCAGAGGCTGTGTGAGACTTCCCTGGCGGTCTAGTGGTTAAGGACTCCGTGCTTCCAATGCAGGGGGTGCAGATCTCATCCTGGCCAGAGAACTAAGATCCCACAGGCCTTGTAGTGTGCCAAAAAATAAAAATAAAAAGCAGAGCCCGTGGCAAGGAAAGGTTGACTTCATGGCTTGCTGGGTCTGTGGAATCTGTGTTCACAGGCTGCCCTGAGGCAGCCCTCTTCACTGTTCAGTACGTGCCTGGTACTGAACTAGGTGCTCTGAGAATGAGGTTCCATTTTTTTTTTCTGGATGGAAGACAGGAGGCCTGGGCTCTGCCAGTTCTTTGGTTATAGAGGTTTGGGCAAGGCATGTATTCTCTGAGCCTCAGTTTTCTCACCTGTAGAATGGGGGAAAGATCATGAAACTTGATCTCATTGCATCATGCTGAAGATGTAAAGCTCTCGGTGCAGTCAGCCAATTCCTGGCAAATTTTGTAGGATAAACAACCTGGTTTGTTCAACAAATTTTAAGGAAAAGAGGAGGAAGGGAAAGGATGAACATATAAGTAAAAAGATGTATTTTGAAAGTCTCTTTTTCATCCTTATTTGGATTCCTTTTTTAAAAAATTGAAGTATATAGTTGATTTACAATGTTGTGTTAATTTCTGCTGTACAGGTAAGTGATTCAGTTATAGGTGTGTGTGTGTTTGTGTGTTAGTCGCTCAATCATGTCCAACTCTTTGTGACCCCATGGACTGTAGCCTGCCAGTGTTCTCTGTCCGTGGGATTCTCCAGGCAAGAATACTGGAGTAGGTAGCCATATATATATTCTTTTTCATATTCTTTTCTATTCTGGTTTATCATAAGGTATCGAATATAGTTCCTTGTGCTATACAATAGGACCTTGTTGTTTCTTATTTGGATTCTGATTCAAACAAACAGTAAGCAGTTTGACAATCAGGGAAACTGGAGCATAAAAGATATTTGGTATATTAATTTTTAGGTGTGATATGATTGTGCATTAATGTTTTTAAATGGTTCCATGTTTTTTAGTGTACATATGGGATATTTATAAATGAAATGATAAGATGCCTTAAATTTGCTTCAAAAAAGCCAGGAGAACGGAAAGTGGGGTGGAGGAACAAAGCCACAAGACTGACCATGAGTTAGAAGCTGATACTTGTTGAAACTGGGTGATGGCTACAGGGGATTCACTATACAATCTCAACTTTTATGAATGCTTGGACATTTGCAAAATATAAGATTCAGTGAATTCCCATATGTGCATGTTCCCAGTTTGACATAATGTAAACACTTAATAAAAACTAGTTTTCTCCTCCCAAGCAGTTTTCCTCCAAGGCATAAATATGTGAAATACTAAATACTCCACAAATACATAGTACAAGGTGGAGGGAACCCGCAGATTTATGGCTTTAAGATTTTCAGTTCTAAGTGTGTCATGAGCCTCTTGTCCAGCAGGGGGCTCTCTACTCTCTGCCTCTCTCACCCTGCTGTCCTGGGGAATTGTTAAAAGGAATAAACTCTCCGCAGTTTAAGAAAGATGAGGCTGGACCGGGATGGGGAATACAT